AGAGAGAGAGAGAGAGAGAGAGAGAGAGAGAGAGAACACAAGCAGGGAAGCGGCAGGCAGAGGGAGAAGCAGGCTCCCCACTGAGCAAGGAGACCGATGGGATCCCAGGACCCTGGGATCATGACCTGAGCCGAAGGCAGACACCCAACTGACTGAGCCACCCAGGTGTCCCTACTTGACATCATTTTAAAGAGGCCCTCTTTTTTTGAATTGACTTAGTCTCCATCATTAAATAATTCATGTTGATTTAGAAAGCTTTGTTTCTAATGGGAGCCACAACACAGCAGAGTTAATATTAGAACAGGCCAGGAAGATGAAGGAAATGGGAGGAAGACTGGGAAAACTCCCTTCCTAATAATTAACCCGCCATCCACGCACCCCCCCCCCCGCCCCCGCCTACTTCCAATCCGCCTCAGTCTGCTCTAGTTTGTCTGTTTCCCAGCGGTCATTATCATCCGACATCCTCCGGACCCACACAAAGTGCTTGTTTAATCTGTTTACTACTGATTGACTGGCTCACTCTCTGCTAGAACACAGGCTCACCAGGGCAGGGCTGGTTTTCCCTTTCACTGACCGATGAACCTTATTTGCCTAGCTCAGTGCTTGGCACCTAGTAGCTGTTCAGGAAATATTTCTTGATGAAAACCTCGGCTTCCGTTTCCTCCCTGCTCTGGGTCCTCCAACTCCTTTGCTTCTCAAATTTTCAGGCACTTAGCAAGATCAAATGCAGTATTGTCCTTACGGCTCTAGCCCCGGAGCAGTAGAGATATTTGTCAACCCTGGGGTCCCTGCAGGTGCGAGAAGGACACGGTCTGCACGTGTGTGCGTATGGATGTAACTTTAAAGTGTACGGCATGTTGGGGGCGGTGTTAGTTTGGTGCTCACAACAGTTCTGGGAGATTTGTATTTTTATTATCCTCATTTTATAGATGAGGAATGAGAAAATCCATTCATTCACTCATTCATTCACTCACTCACTTCATGTGTTTAAAAAAACCCCAGATAGTATTGAGGACCGACTCTATACTAAGTGCTGGTTATAGAGAGTTGAACCAGAAACCCCGGGCGCGGGGGGAGCGCTAAGGACCTTGCTCAAGGTCACACAGTGAGTGACCTGCATGTAGGGGTTCTGCAGCCAGCCCTTGACTCTTCCTGCTACACCCCAGCTCTGCTCATGTGCACGCGGGTCCTGTGATGTCCTGCTAAGCTAAGTCCCCGCAGACATAGCTCGGAATGCATAGAAGCTGCAGACAAAGGGAGGACTCTGGGGTTAAAATGTACAGCCAAGTACAGAATCCCAGGGCTGGGCAGGACTGTGAGAGGGCCCCTCTCCAGACTCAAAGTAGGATGCTGCACAAAACACTCTGTTACCTTTTGTGCCTCAGTCCCAAGGGGATTCTGGTTCCAGTGGGGGATGGGCCATCTTCCTCAACTACTTGGTGCCGCAAGTTGGACTCCTTATTGTAGAAGTCACGGTGTTTTGGGAGCCCGACAGTTCTTAGTGACCATCTTATTTATCACCACCTTCATGTTACAGATGAGGAAACTGAGACCCAGAGAGGTGGAGTAGCAGGGCCAAGATCACACAGCTGGTTAATGGCAGGATCTTGACTGTTGCCTCCAAGTCTGCTGCCCTGGGATACCATGATTCTTGAGATGTTCTGCAGGTGGAAAGATGCCTGTGTCGACCTGGCCTGAGTCAAGGCATGGTCCTCTGTGCCACAGAGGGAATGCAGCCTGGCCGTTAACCTGGACCGGGGCCCTGGAGTCTTTGCCTGGCTCTGACCCTTCCCCTTCTTGCTCTCCTGGTCCCCTAGCTTCCTCCCTCTGCCTCCCAGGGTAGCAAATGCTCAGCTCCCAGTTGCTCCTTGCCTGATTGCATCTGAGAGCTGGAAATACTAGGCTAATTAATGTGTCTGTGACTCTAGTCTTGGCTGCTGGGGCTGGGTCCCCATGCCCTCCCTGGAACACCACGGGCTCTGTGAGCTGGCCCTCTGGCTTCTCCAAGCAGGCTGCTGGCAGATGCATATTTTAACAATGCACATCTGTTGGCTATATAATCTCTCATATTTGCCCTCCTCACTTGGTGCTTTGATGAAAGACCCCCAGGGGTCTCCCTCTGTTCCAGCCAAACTGTTTGCTTTGCAATTTTGCTGGAATACCATCTAATTCTTCTCACATCTTCCGCAGGTTCTAATCAGGCTCTTACTTTATTTAATTAAAAATCTATCTCAGGCAAATACAGACTAAATTAGGAAGCTCTCTCATTCCTGGAACACAGGGAAGGCAGCCCCTCCCTTGGGGAACTGGCTGGGACATTTTCCCGGGCTGAGATGTCACTGCAAAGCAGATGGGGTCTTGGTTGCGAAGCTGTCTGGCCAGGCTAGAAACACCCCTCTTCCCTCTGCCGCTCTGTCTGTTCAGCACGGTGAGCAGACCAGAGCTCCCCTTCCAGAAGGCTGGGTCAGCTTCTGCACGCAGGGCCTCTCTCCAGGGCAGTAGGTGGGGCTGTACACCGCAAAGAAACTCAGTCGGGCTGGGCGCCTCAGGCAGAGGCCTGCCGGACCCGCCAAGGTGGGGGGTGGGGGGAGAGACCTGCTGCACCAGCTCAGGTGTGGGACCTAGGGTGATCAGGAGGGGCTGGAGGCAGAGCCTGGGACAGCTGTTTCTTGCGTGAGGTTAGTTTGTCAGGAGGAGTGGTGTCTGTGGAGTCTTCAGGAAAGGCTGCTGGACATATGCCTGCTCAGGCCCCTTTTTTCCAGCTTTCGGGATTCCAGCAGGCTAGCCTGCCGGGGTCACCTGGAAACTCCTCCTTCCCCCTCTTCAACTGCCTTCCAGACTCGCGTAATGCCTTTTCCCCACACAAACCAGCTCTGTGCCAGGTCTGGCCCCAGGAGAGGGAGATGGGTGTGTGTGTGTGTGGGGGGAGGCTTTTAGATGTGACCTAAGAAGGAACCGAGTCTGTTCAGATGAGACTCTGCGGCCCCGCTCTCAGCAGCCCAGCCCTTAAGCAACGAGACAAAGGAGATTGTGCTGGTATTTAGGGACGCAGACAGCACTGGTTTGGCGTTGGAAAATCTGGGGTCTATTTTGAGTGGTAATTAAGCCATGAGGGGCTTTGCTCTCCAAGTCTCAATTTCCTCATCTGTACAACATTTGGAGTAATTTGGGCTTGGATATGTCCCTGAGAGAGGAGAGGAGGCAGCCTGTGAATGGTTGGGTGCCACTGGGCAAAGCTCTGAGAGCAGGACGAGAACTTGAGGGTGAGCTGCGTCTCCGTCTAGTCTAGGTCCTGCGTGAAGTCAGGAGTGGGCAGTGCGTGGTTCCTCCTCAACTTAGCATCATTTGGTACCCTCTAGAAGGGGAGCAAGGCTGCAGGAGGCAGATTATTTTGAGGACGGGGAACAGAATCATCTCTGGAGATGCCCAAAAGTGTTCCGGCATTGAACGATTGGAAAACATATCAGACACTAAATCCCCCTGTTCTTCCCCACACCTCCACACCACACTGCACCCCCATCCCCACTTTAGCCACCATCCCGGGAGAGATGAAGACGTCTGCCTCTTCCTTTCATATCCCTGAGCACTCTTCTGCAGGCCCTTCTGGACCGAGCTGTCCCAGCTTATTTGCCCTGCCGGACCCGCTTTCTTTCTCTTTCCTTCATCACAGGCTAGAGGAGACACCGGGGTGGAGGGATGTTCTGGGGTCAGCCCTGAGCTTTGCCTCCTGTCTCAAGAAGCCAAGCCCCGAGCTTGGTAAGTGGTCCTCCGGGGCTGGCTGCCGTGCTTGGGACAACGTGCCCCGCGTGCTGCCGCGTCGATCTGAAGTTAACCTGACACGCTCTTAAATATTCCATCGGGGAGCAGCTACGCGCCTTATCCTCCAGGTGAGGAGGCAGCACCCCAGCTGCTGACCCTGTGGTCGGAGCCTCACAGCAGCTGCTAGGAGGTGGGCTCCCCCCTCCGCTGCCTGGGCCCCGTCCCACCCGGGGCTGGCAGAGCCTCACCGAGGAGGCAGCGCGGTGGTGCCGGAGCCCTGGCCGGGAGACCCCTCCTGCCCCACCCCCGGGGCCGGGCCCTTGGCGTCTCTGAGCCTCGGTTTCTCATCCGGGGCCACAATCCCCGTCCCACTGTCTTGTGTCAGAACGGCGGAGGTAACGTAAGTGGAAGTGCTTTGAGAGGGGCGGTTAAGTGCACGCACATGTCTGCTATTATGCCTTGTGTGTGCGGCTCGGTTCTCAGGGGCTTGGGCCTCAGCAGCCGCTGGCTGGAGGAGGGAGTTGACAGGGCCTGACCTCAAAATCAGAAGGAGGCTGTTTAAGAGGCGGCCAGGCTCACTCCCTTGTCTTCAGGCAGGTCTGCCTGTGAAGGAGTAGGGACCTCTCAGGCAGGGTGTCCCAGGGGCACTGGGCTCCGGGGAAGCCAAGAGGAAGAAAGGCCAAGGCTGACAAAGGTCTGATTTGGCATAAGGGCCCAAAATGAATTTTCCTAGGGATGATTTAGGCAGTCAGTTCTCCAGCTGAGAGCCAGGATTCCCAGGGAGCGGCGGAGGGTGGGGAAGGGAACAGATGCAGCAGTGGTCCCTAGGGATGCTGAAATCATGCTCTGTTAGCGCCTAGTGGGAGAAAGCACGGGCTCAAGGATGTGTCATATTCTTCTCTGTATCTCCATCGCCTAGCACACGGTCTGACACCACCATGTGTGCAGAATATGCTTCCTGATTGAATAAATAAGCATTTAGCCCCTTAAGCTGGAGTCAAACCCCCTGCGGTTGGACAGGGTCACAGGTCGGTTAGCAGTGGCCTTCCGATTTCCAGGGCGGGAACTTTCACTTTCCCCTTTTTGGGGGGGGATGGTGGGTCCTGACCCAGTGGGGCAGCAGCGGCCAGAGCCCAGTGTGGTAACCCCTTTGGGCTTTGCCCAGCAGAGAGGCCCTTCTGGAAGTGAGTGCATGGTGCTTCCCGGAGTGTCCTCGCGCCCCACGTGTCAACAGCTCTTACCCAGGACGGTGAGGCGTGCGGGGCGAGACCTTATGGCGGCTTGGATGGCCTGGCATTCGTACACAGCGTCATCTTGCAGCTCTGCCCGCAGGATCTTCAGGTGATGCTCTCCTGACAGGTGGTTCCCTACCACCAGGTACTGTGGGTAACCTGTGGAGACAATGCACATGTGGGGGGTGGGGTGGGGCCAAGGGTGGGGGAGGCGTTCCTACCAAACAGGCACAGCGGTGGGACATGTGAGCAGGGGCTGGTCTTGGAGGCTGGGGGATAGGGGTGGGAGTGGGGGTGGCGTGACTGCTCACGGCCTTGACTTTGGTGTGAGGAGCACAAAACCGAGAGCTTTCCCTGGATATTGGGCAGTGTGTGTGTGTGTGTGTGTGTGTGTGTGTGTGTGTGTGTGGGTTTAGGAATATTGGAGAAGCTATGATCAGAGAGCACAGAGAGAGCAGAGATGGAAATGCTAAGTGTGGGCAGACACAGCAGGGTTAGTACTCTGGTAAGCGGTGCGCTCAGCGCTGTGGTTTACCAAGCAGACGTGCATTTTGATAAGGAGACACACAGAGAGACAGAGAGACCCAGGCTGCGATTCTCAGCAGACAGAGTAAGAGAGAGAGAGAGAGAGAGAGGGAAGAAAACAGAACTCTCTGGAAAAGAATCAAGAATGACTTTGGGGGGAAAGTTTTGTTCAGGATGAGCAGGAAGGAGAAATCAAGGCCCACCCTACCAGTGGCTGGCATCCTCTGGCCACTTTGAACCATAAGGGGCCCTCGTCTGGTCACTTCTCCCCACCTCAGACCCCAGGGCCTGATTAAGCACTTACGAGGCACTCAGGACACTTAGGAATGTGGGGCCCCTTATGCTACTGGTGATGAATAATGGATAAATAAAAATTTGAGAATGATAAATCATTAATCAGCTTTCCTGCTGCTGTGTAGGGTGAATATAAATGCCAACGTAAGTCGTGGCTGGCCAGGTTGGGCAGATCCCCTGTCCCGGGCCTTGGGCTCTAGACCTCCTTAGTATCTCCCAGAAGCATCTCCTTCCCATCACCCCCTTACCTGAGCTCTGTCTCCCCTCCTCCCACCCCCCACCAGCCTCTTACAGGGGCCTTCCTCCCTGTTCTCTTCCCTTCTCTCTTCAGAGGCCCGCCCACCCTCCGGCAGCTACAAACCGTTCCTCTGTCTAAAAGACCTTCGCCAGGACAGTGTGAGTTCTCAGAAATGTGCCATAGGAAGAGGGGGTTGGCCTATCTGGCCTTTTAAAGAGAAGACTAGGGCTTAAGCCGGTGAGAGAGAGAGAGAGAGAGACGGAAACAGAGAGACAGAGGGATGTGCAATAGCTCTCCAAATATTTCCGTCTCTAAGTGCAGGTTAGATGTATTCAAGTAGTTCCCAAGGACAGCACCAGTGGACAGAATTAATATTGGGAAATACTTTAGAATATTCTTAATATAATTTGAAAGGTCTGGCAAGGATCTAGGCTACCAGAGGTGGTAGTGAGGTCCCCATCAGTAGCTGCATTCAAGCACAGGTTGGTGATCACCTGTCAGGGACACTGCAGAGCAGATTTCTATCCTAGATAGAGTATTGGAGCTCTAAGCTCCCTCCCATCATAAGCTAAGGGTGGGGCAGAGGTGGGGCAGGCCTCTCCAAGGAGTGGGCTGTACAGGGGCCACTGACACCTATTCCTTGTCAGAGAGATAGCTGGGATCCTTCCCAGTATGTATTTTGTGGGCTTCCTATGTGGCTGAGCCATTGAGGCTCCTGTCTTCATGGCTAGCATCGTCCCCATCATGCAATCAAATGGCCCCAGCCGGCACAGCTGTTCTGGCCTGGCCAGAGATGCTCACGAGGCAGTCGGCTGTACCCCCGGGGAGCACCATCTCCCCCCCTGCCCGCCCTTCCTGCCCTCTGCTGGGCTTTGGGAAGAAGCCCAGGTAAGTTAAGCTGGCTCTCCCCAGGGCCGGGACGAGGGGCTGGAAACGGGTTCCTGCCCAGCCCTCTCCCCGCTGCTGCCCTCAATGTAGCTGGCTCACGGCCCCCAGCACTTCCGGCCCAGCCTCTGAATCCTGCCGTCTTTGATTAGTCCCTGGTCTCCTGCAGGCATCTTGGCTGGAGCTTGTGTTTTTGTTATCTTGCAAGCTATCAGCAGCAGGATTTCGCTCTCAGGAGCTGCTGAAAACATCAGTGATGGGTTTGTTTGTATTTGCCTAATTAGGCAACAAGCTGCAAAGCTATCCCAAGGACTCGCAGGATCTTTGGAAAACACAGGCCCAGAGGCCTCGATTCTGAGCAAGTTCTAGCTCCTTCCATAGTATTATTATTCTCTTTTGCTATGCTCAGGGGAGGCAAAATTATTGAGAACCTGGGTTCTACAGTCCAAGTGCCTGGGTTCAAATGCCCGGTCTATCACTTCCTAGCTCTGTTGTCTTGGGTAAGTTATTTTAACTTCTTCGTGCTTCCGTCTCCTCATCAGCAAAATGGGGACACTATCGGTACCTCATAGAGTCATGGTGAAGAGTAAGTGGGATCATCCATGTTAAGTGCGTGGCACACAGTAGAGTCTGTAAATGCTGGTTTAAAGAAAAACGACACTGAGACAGAATAGCCAAAAAGGTCCCTTTCTTTAGAGGCGAGAACATGCAGGGTGCCAGGCTTTTTGGGTGTTAGGAGCCAGGGTCCCACACACGGGGATTTGGTGTATGTTTAAATCCATTTCTTTCTCAACTGTGACTTTGTTTACCGGTCAAATAAAGGGGGGAATCCTTCTTTTTCTCCCTGTGGATCATTGTAGATTTATGACATAATGTCTGAGAATCACTTGAGCTTCTTAGAAGAAGAATGTTCTATCAATATGAGGGCATGCATTTATAAATAATTTCCTTTGAAATGATTTTCAGCCTCGGTGACCAGAAAGACAGTTAGGTCTTCAGTGCGGGAGTGATTCCTGGTCCACTGAGCCGGGCCACACAGAAAAGGATAAAATTAAAAAAACAGAAGAGGATAGAGCTGCGGCAGGTTGAAGTCTCACAATTCTCGGCCTCGGTTTCCCCACAGGGGGACCTGTGCCGTTATCGAGTGCTCTGTGAATACTTGCTGAATGAAATCGAGATCTATTCCTCTCTCTTTCTTGTCAGGTAAGCAAACAGTATTTATTGAGCATGTGAGTTTCTGTCATTATTGTCATGATGCTTTTTTGGGGATTGGTGATCAAATATAGAAAATACTTTACCAGGACTTTGAATTTATTGGCTATGCAAGGAGATGGACAACCTTCTCTGTATAAATGGAATCAAGTCAGAGAGCAAAGAGACCCCAGTTCATCAGAACCCTATCACCCCTCAGTACTTAGCGGGACCCATTCCTGACCCCAGAGAGCCACTCATGGAATTGGGTGCCAGAAGGTCAGTTATCCATGTGGTGATGAATGTCTGGGGTGACCTGGGGCTTCCTCTTGGCCACCAACCCAAAAAGACCCCAGTCCTTGACCGGACGCTGCAAACCACTGCAGGAACCCAGAGCACCTCTTTCACTAGCAACAGTGCTGGTCCAAGCTGAGAGCCACGCAGAGCATGAGTGATTCTGGTTTGGGAAGGTGAGATCATTCCCCCAGTTTCTCTCGGGTAAGGAAGTTCAGAGCCCCTGAAATTGGCTGGTTCCCATAATACTTAAATTTTATGGCAGCACAGTATATTTTGGAGATATTATTGTGTATTTTATCCATGCTCAGCTGGGCTGTAGCACTCAAACCCGGTGATGCTATTGACCATGGCTATAATGTTTCAATATACATTTTTGGCAAGACATAACTCACATTTTAAAATATTAATTTCCCAACCATCATGTTCCTGAGTGCACTTCGATTTTTATTTTCCTGCAGCTGTACACCACGAGAGAAGCAAAGCTACTTCTCAGTTGAATACATATTTTTTTTTTCTCCTCCTCCATCCTCAGCCACTCCCCAATGGCAGGGACACCCCAATCCCTTGTTCCGAATTTTCCAGGTTATGCTAAGCCTCACAAGCTTTCACATGCCTACCTCCCCAGGAGAGAATAATAATTGCTGATAGGTAAGTGACCAGGAGGATGATTCTATTCCCCCCCCCCACCCCCCAGGGAGAGGATGGATCGGAAAGACATCTGTGTGAGCTTAAGGGTTGACATTCACAACGGTTAACAGATGATAGGGCATCACACCAACCGGAGGGAGCTCAGCTGCCAGGGACAGGAGCCTACCGGGACATCGTTGCTCAGTACCAGCCTGGGTGGGCTCAACGAGGTTTGCACTTTAAATGCTCCTTTTCTTTTCTTCCCATCACACGGTAACCGCTAAAAGCAACTGGGTTCCTTTGTGAGTTTTCAAATTCTTTGGCTCCCTTTAATGGGTGACAGCCCGGGAAGAACCAGGTGGTGACTTGGGGGATACATTTTGGACCAAGAAACAGGAACACGTTACTTCTAGGAATCTGACTCTACCTGAATTGTGTTTGACTTTCGAAGAGATCCTCCAGGGCCGCACTGTTCGGGTTTGACCGCCAGAACTGAGGGTTTCCATATCATTCATTACTGGTGGTCGGAAGGGTTCTCAGAGTCCTACGGATCCTGGACCCAGAGCTTGCCTGTCCTGACTCTGCTCGGGGGGCGGAGTGGGGTGGATGCACAGTGAAACCTGGAGATTTAATCTCCAAATGCCCATGAAGATGGGGTTCCCTAGGAGGGTGGCTGGGTCAGGCGGGGATGGGTTCCAGGCCTTCCCTGGGAGGTCTGGGGGTACTCACTTGAGAGGTCCCTGCCCACTCCCAGTGCCAAGCCGTCTTTGATCCACAGGACAAAGCCATCGTATTCAGGGATGGTACACAGCAGTGTCACGGGCTGGCCCGACACCACGGCCTGGTCCTGGGGTTGCTGGCTGAAGGAGTACACTTGGCCTAGGAAGGAGACAAGCACAGTGGTCAGTTACTTGCAGGTAGCAGTGCCTGGAGGCTTCTCCTCACGTTAAGCCGCAGAGGAGACACTGACCCAGGGGAGAAGCACCCCCCTCCCACCGCCCCCTGCATCTTACTTCCTGCCTGGGGCCCAGCAGCAGCTTCCTACATGCCCCCAGCTTAAGTCCCAGCTCTTAGCAGCTGCTTGGCCGCTCAGCCGCCCCCGCTCGTCAGTCCTTACCACACCTCACACTGTGATCTGGCCTCCTCCAGCCCCCAAAGAGGCCGTGCCCACCGCCCTTGGGACGAGCTCTGCCACTTTCCATTGGGCTAACTCTTACTCGCTGCCGCTGGCTTGCGCCTCCTCCCACAACAGGGCAGATGTGGTGCGGTTTGGTCAAAAACCGGAGAATCCAGGGAAAACATTATTGTTTCCGTGGTTCCCAGGCTGGTACAGCGCGGCACAGCGCGTGCAGGAGTCCCCACTTTGTCCCTTTCTTTCTGGTGAAAGCCCCGGCTCCGGCTTCCCTATCACCTGGGAGAAGGTCACGGGCGTGACCCCAAGCTCTCCCATGCACCCCTGGGAGCAAGACGGCACCGAGCCATCCAAGCCAGCCAGCTCAGGAGTCGTGACCCGGACACACCCACTGTGTGTACCACACGCCAACCGCTGTTCTAAGATTTAAAAATATTAGCTCATTAACCTTCTCACCCTCATAACAACCTATGAGGTAGGTACGATTTTGACCCCCGTTTTCTGGAGGAGGAAATGGGGCCCAAGGAAGTGGCAAATACTAACAGGAGCTGGGCTTGGTCATGACCGAGCAAGTACTGAGTATGCATTAACTTTAGCTTTTTACAGTCGCCATAACGCTTGGACCTTACCAAGCCCAGTTTGCAGGGGCCTGGATGTTAACTAAAGTATCTAGGAAGTGTCTGGTGGCAGGACAAGGGCTATAAATATAAGACTTTCCTGCTCTAAAGACTGTATTTTCACTTACTGAGTTGTGCTGTGCCCAGATCCCTAAGCCGGTCCTGGAAGGAAAGCTGAGGAAGCGGGCTGATGTGATCCATGTTCCCTGGGAGGCCACAGATGCATGGACAAGACGACACTGACATTAACCGAGCCCCTGGCCCACAGTGAGCTGCATTTCACGTGCCCTCCCTTCTGTAACCTGTTTAATTACATGCCAGGGCAGAAATAGCCCGATGTTACAGCAGGGAAAACAGGATCAGAGAGGCAAAGTAACCTACTCAAGATCACACAGCTAATGAGTGGTGGAGCCAGGGTCTGACTGGGCGGGGGGGGGGGGGGGGCGGTCCCTGTGGCTTCCAAGCCTGCATTCTTTCCCAAGCCCTGCCCAGCAGATAGAGACACACAGCTCAGGAAAGGTGGACCCGGTGGGTGGGCTCCTGTCCCAGCCTCTTCTCCCCCACATGGGAGAGTCAGGGATGGCCACGGAGGTCCCGGACCCTAGCTATTGCCCATCGTGGGGACACAACGCCCCAGGCTTGGACCACTGGTAAGGCCATGCTCTCAGCAGCAGGTGGCCCGAAGAAGGGAGTGATGCACATATAAAGAAGCAGAGGGAAGCAGGCCAGGGGGGTGGAGCCAGCGGTGGGGCTCCCCAAGGGCAGCCCTGGAGGTCTGCCTCAGAGAGCTCGTGGCAGGTGGGAAGGTAGCCCCAGTTGCAACCTGATGAGATCTTGGCTGGGTCTCTGAGGAGTATCATTAAAAATCAAATTGGCCCTGAATTGTGGGAGTAACACTTTTTATTCTGATTTGAGCTTTACAAATTAGATTTCATAGGACATTTTAATCAGCTATGTGTAGTGGGTTTATTTATTTATTTTTCCTCTCAGTCTCTTCAAGTTCTCTGTTGTAATTAGACTGTTTCTGGCACCAAAACAAGAGAGAGAGAAGGGAAAGCAGAAGTGGGGGGGGAGCCTGGAGAAAGAGCCCAAGGAAGGGGTGACCTGAGGAGGGTCAGGGAGGCGGGAGGGAGCTGGAGAGGCCTGAAGAAGGGGCCAGGGAGGGAAAGAGAGGGAAAGGGGGGGAGGGGGAAGGCTGTAGGGGGGCACTCCTTTCCGAGGCTCTGTTCTCCCTGCTCAGTGATGATTTCACAGCTCCTTCTTATATCTCAAAATCTTTCTTGCAAGAAGGACAGTGTCAAGACAGCTGCCATGGCTGCCAGAGATTGTGTTATCAGAGAGAATTATCAGGTTGTCAGCTGGGGGCGGAGGGACTGTAATGAGAAGGCCCCAAGCAAGTGGTGAGGACCCTGTGGGCGTCCCACCCCCGGTCCCTCTTCCTCAGGTGAGGGTGAGGGTAATGGACAGTTGGGGTACAGGGGGCATCCCGAGGGGGGGGTGTGGGTGGCGGGGGGTGGGGTGAGTCCTGGTTGGTACAGGGAGAGCCAAGACCGGCCATGGAGGAGCACGCGGAGCGCTCACTAGCTCACTTTGGATGCTGTCTCAGAGCCATGGATTGGGGCAGGCACGAGATCCCCCCAGTAAGCCCTGAGCACACAGACAGCTGAAGGGACAGTGAAGAGTGGGGGAGGGCCTGGGTGGAGGACGGTCTGATCCATCCCCAGCAGGCTTGAGAGAGCTTTCTAGAACATCTCAGCAGGCTTCAGAGAGCTTTCGGCTCGCGCATTGGGTCTGTTTGGGTCCCTTCGGCTTTTCTATGGAAAGAACGCCTCTTGGGATGGTGTGGGGGGTGTGGAGATAGATATACTGGACGGTCTCAACATAACCACCCAAAGAACAGTATTTACCCATTATTTTTTGGGAGGGGATGATTGGTGCTCTGACAATTTTCTTTTTCAGTCTAATTTTAATTTCTGTGCATTAAATACATGCCACTAGAAATACTTTTTCTTTCAAATCAGTGAGATGCTTTTTCAAATAGAATCATAAGCTGAGTGTCACTATCTAGAGTAGATAAAAACCACAGTGCTGTGGGTGGAGGGGACGTGGAGGGATGGGGCGCACTGTCTTTTCACCCATAAGATGTACCTTGAGTCTTCTCTTCTGGGCTTCAAAGCCCCTAGGAACAGAGTGTGCAAACATGGGTGTAGTTTCCTGGCCAAAAGATGCTCTTCACTTGTTCCCTCACAGCTGGTTTCTTTTCCCTGTCTTTCCTGCTCCCAGGAAGTGAACTGTGAGTGAGCCTGGAATCTTTTCTAGAACCTTCTGGGCATTATGGTAAGTAGACAGGAACCTCCTTGAGAACATTTGTGATTCCACACACATTTATTGCAACCTGCTACGAGGCAGGCATTGCACTGCCTTGTGGGAAACAGATGGATACGACGTGGTCCTTCCCTCCAGGAGCGAACATCTGTGCGCCCACCACACCCAGACAACTCTGCTCTGGGCGCAGAGTATGTACTGCACCCACTAGCACGCCTTGTGCCATCCATCCCAAGTTTTCTGCCTCAGTTTCCCATTGTGCCCACTGACATTCTCCTGCTGTGAAGCCTGGCAGTCAGTGTGACCTCCCTTTCCTGCTTCATTTTTAATCTGTCCCCATCACCAAGTGTGGCCCAGCCCCTCCTCCACAGCATCTCCCAGACCCACCCTTTCCTCTCCACGCCTACGGCTGCAACCCAAAGTCTGGGCCCTCCCCACCTCCGCCTGGGTTCTTTTGACAGCCTGTGAATGCTTTTAGGTCCGACCCTGAGTCTTCTTCCTAAACCACCACTTTCCTCGTGCACTCTCTCCCTTTCCAAGGGGTGGAAAGTCTAATGGCTCTCCACTACCCGCCGGAGAGCACCCGACAAGCTTCTCCAAAATCTGACCCGCTTCTCTCCAGGTGCTCAGCAGCCATTCACTTATGTTACCTGTCCCATGTCATCGACGTCCCACCATTCTGGAATCGCCCCTCTCTCCAGGGCTCCCTAACCAGCCCTGCCCTCACTGAATGCCAAATTCTCCTCCAGGAGCTTTGCCTGTGCCTCTAGGCACTTCCCGTCACCAAGGGGGGAATCTTTTCTCTTCTCTCCTCCCCACTCTTCCTCCTTCCCATCCCCCCTTAATTTCTTCAAAACTTTATTGGGCATTTACTGTATATCAGATGCCGAAAGAACAAAGGTAAGTGAGAAATGGAAGGTGAACTGAGGGCAAGAACCACGGCCATTTTTTCATCTTGTATTCTCAGCACCTGGTCGAGTGCGTAAGCACTGAATAAACTTGACTTGTGGATCTTGCGGCCCACCTACTCTAGTCTGTCCCCTGAGATCTGTGGTCATGAAGGAAAACTGTTTTTACATTATCAACTACTGATTAGGCAGATATTGTGCTGAGCACACCACACAGAACGAGTGAGGTGAGAAATGATGGGAAAGGGCCAGAGTCTCAAGAAGTCAGGCTTTGTAGGGTAAAAATAACTCAGTTATTCATGGAAGACCTACTTTAACCAAGGCTTTGAATATAACTACAATGCTAGTCGGGTATTACTACCCGCATTTCACGGATGAGCCGAGGCTCCCAAATAAAGTGACATGCCCAAGGTCACCCAGTTGTAACTCAAGGTCACTCAGTGGGCCCTGGTGCAATTCCAGGTCACGCAGTGGGCCCAGGTACAATAAAGACCCAAATGTCTCTGGTTGCAAACCCTGTTTTCTTGCCACTTCCCATGTTGGTTATTGAATTAAGGGTCTAGATTTGGATTTTTATCCACAAATCAGGACTCCCCCCATTCAACCCCAGCAACCATTGCCCTCAGACCATCTAAAGAGAGGCAGAGGATCTTTGGAGTGAAAAGTGATTTCTTGGTTCTTCCTTAAGTTTACATGGCCTCCCGCCAGTTGCTGGTCTACAACACTGAGTTAGGGTTCATGGTGGAGTCTAGTACTGGCCACCATGGGGGATAGGAAAGAAAGGAGGTGTAAAATTACTGGCACTTAGTGTTATATAGTCATTATCTATATAACTATGTTATTATATAAATATATAGAACTAGCTATATATCACAAATAATACTTTCATTGTTGTAG